AAACTTACTCCTGTAAATTGCAATGTTCTCCTAACCATCCCCACTTTTGCATCTTGGGAGGAAACAATATTATATGAACTTACATGATATAATGAGCCCTAAAGCTAGCATTTACACTTAGTAGTGAGACATGTATGTTCATAATAACAAGAAGATATAACAGAGCACATAGGACATACATTTGATAGGCTATAATAACAAGAAGATATAAACACTCCATTTGAAAGAGTGAAACTATTTGCCAAAAAATCATGCATGCTAGTAAGTGTTGCACATATTATTTTATTCAATCAAAAAGCATTGGAACTGCCACTTTATTACTATAAACAAGTGAAAAATGAACTCAAGTTACGAACCACAAGCGAGCAACAAATGAACTCATGTCAAGTATGAAAGAAAACTAATACATCTTTTTATCAAGATAAGGAATTACCAGCGCTTTCTATAAATAAGGGACCTACTTGGAGCAGAATCTTCAGTAGTTGTAGAGAAGCCACTTCCATGGACGCATATCTTCTTTCAGCTTCATCTTATATCTTTCATTTGGAATATGGACACCATTCTTTTCCTTCRTTGCTCGACGATCTGCTTAGACTGTAATAGAATAATGACTCTTATGCAACATTCCTTAGTTATGGACTATTTCGGATTTGCCTGCAATATAGTTTATAATTTCAAATAAGTCTACATGTTGCGCTTGTTCAACAAGGTATCTAACGTACACCTTAACTTTGGTGCAAGTTTAACATATCCAAAATTATGCATAGTTACGGAGTTGGCAAGACCTTAACTTCATTGTYMGTATATGACACATAGAAACCATAYRTAATTRATGRAATAAGCATAATACTTTGTAGAAGCTTTGAATACTTTGTATGAACCARCARTAATGGRTTGAAGCCACAAACCAGGAAACAGATTATGCACACATTTCACAACTTGAAAGTTGAAACCTTGATTGCAGCATTTTGTTTCTATTTGAAGTACAATACACACACACACAACAATATGCAACTATTTACCATTAGCCAAAAATGGAAGTACAAATACATATGCACACACTATAGAAACAGTTCAAGATCAACAGACTTAACTGTTCGTTTTCAGCATTTAAGAGATTGTCTAGATTAGAAGGCATAATCCCCCTGTCAACATAATAGAGACAGATCAATGGCAAAAACAGATCAAATATTTAAAGAAACCATAAGAAGAAGAATTTCAACAGAAGACTACCAATTATGTCGTTCATGGAAACATGCCCAAATAATAGACTATCTTTAGCTTCCTGAAATTAACAACTTATACACATTGCAGAGAATTTAGCAAGTAACTGGATTTACACAATTTTATTAAATGACAATGAACATGTCTATCCAGTGATCTATAAGATAAGATTTAAAAAAAACGACTAAAAAGGGAAGTTTCAATTAATAGAACACTAAAAATATGATGGCTGACCATATGATTTCAAATATGKTYAGCCATCATATATAACTTAATAGCTCTTAATGTTTGCATGCTAATGGTCAGTCTTTTTTGCCCAGTTTCTTACGCTAATAATTGATCGAGAATACTACCTGACACTGTCCTAAAATAAATTATATCATGAATAAGTAGTTCATATAACTCATGCATAATACGTCAAGGGTTGTAAGTGGTTCATGGATGCAAACTTGTTTTTATTATCACTTGTATGAATCTAGAAGTTCGAGGTTTTTTAATCGTTTAAGTAGGATTACTTGCTTCATTGGTGTACGATTCATTATTTCTCATAAAAGTGAAATACCATGCTTCCATATCCAGTTTTGCAATATAATTGTTTCCTATCTTTCCTTCCAAATATATAAATATTCAATATATTGATTCTCGAGATTGCAAATTGTTTGTTTTTTTTATTTCTGTATGCAGATCCATTATGTTTTTTTAGTAGTTATATAAATATCTTCCTCTTTATAATTTTTGTTGGTATTTCTTTGACACAAATACATTTGTATGCGCATATATGCTGCTGTTTTTGCAGCTTTAGTTTCTGGTTTTGCTTGCTTGGTTGGGATTGACTTTGGTGCAAAGCTGCTTGCTTCACTATAGTGTTTTAAGGTTCAGTGTTGTTCTTGAGAGATCTCTTTTATGTAATCGACTATCTCAGTGTCTGATAGGGAAGTTTTGCAAGCATGCTACCTAGGACTACCTTACGCTTTCTCTTTAATAAAAAATCTAATTTACGCAATCCACAGAATGAATTCGATTTTGTTACAGATGGCTGCACAAGCTGCTAATACCAACATTTCCTATGTTTTATTTTTCAGGACGAGTACATAAAAAAAGACAATCTTTCTTTGCGGAATTTAACTCTTCTTCTTTCTTATTTATACATATTTGGAGTTTGCTCAAGGTTAGTCATTTATGTCATGTTAAGCTTTTTTGCTCTAAATAGAAGTGCTATTCTTTACAAAACACTTGAGATGTGACAAGATTGATAAATTACTAAGCTACGCATGTCAAATTAAACCCTAAAACCTCACATAATTCTTTCACCTGCCTACTCACTCTAGCCCATCCTGTTCAATTATGTCTATTGTGTACCAAACAAGAGCCGACAAGCATGCAGCTAGAATGAACATTTCAAAAATAATTCTGGGCTGTAAACACGAAACTCGCTGCTTTCCAAGTTTCTCCTTACGTTTCTCCATATGTATATGGGTCCACACAAGAAATATAGCTTACCTACAAAGCATGTTCAAGACCACATGGATTTCCTCAACAAGTTTATTTCTTCAATCACACCTGCAAAAAATATAACAATGCAGGCAGCAATTAGGATTGTGAGTAAATTTCGATTAAAAAGTCTCAACAGAAATTTTTATATGTCAATGGGAAAGAAAAAAGCATACAAAAAATAGTAGAAAAAGATATTCCTAATGCAGGGTCCCTAGTACTTCTTGCAGGGTGTCGTTCCCTTCTTGGGGACACCTACTTTCGAAATAGACATGTCTTTTTTCAAATACTTGTCTCTACATTACACGCTCTTSCTTTTCCTAATTATTGGAACTACGGAATCCCCAAAAACACCCTTAGTTTAGGATCACTTCTTGTTTCACTACCAATTTATTAACATATTCGCCTGGCATTTCATAAATAAAGTCTTATATGCAAAAGACAATTGTACCTTCTGCAAAAGCATTACAGGAGAATGATGAACGGTCATGTTTTCTCATCACACCTCCATCTCCAAGTACTGCGTATGTTTGTATTGTCATTTGTATAAAGGAAAACAAGCAGAACAAACTCGTGGAAAAGATGGTAAGAATAATTCACCTCAACTACGAATCTCTTCTTTTCTTGGCTTGTTGGCAGGCCCAGTTGCTTCTGCCATTGATCAAACTACAACAAACACATGTAGAGAAAATAGACTAAATAACATCTTATGTCATATAAAGACACAATCAATTTTAGTTTTCTATAACAGCAGGTCAAGTTTCTTGTTCATTGACTGAAACATGTTTGGTTTCATTAATAAAACCAATTTAATCTTGGCTATAAACCATGAACCCGATTCCATTTTGGTTAAGAAACATGAAACAAATTTAAAAAAGTATGATTGAAGAATCTGGGAATTACAGCAATGCTGCCAGCAGTAGAGCATATGTTAAATGAGCGAGATGATGCTTTGGATGTAATGAGGTTGTGTATGATGCAAGCCCAACACAAGATGAAATTATAAGCCGACGGGCATCGGAAGGAAGTATCATTCGAGGAAGGGGATATGGTCTTCTTAAAGTTTCGACCGTATAGACAGAGATCATTAAGGGGCACTAATAATCAAAAGTTGTCCGCAAGATTTTACGGTCCTTCCAAAATAATAGGCCATGTGGGAAGTGTAGTTTATTCATTGGAATTGCCAGCAACTACTTGTTTACACCTAGTATTCCACATGTCACAATTAAGGAGGGCAGTGGGGCCATGTACATCATCCAACACAGTGCCAAATCAATTAACAGAAGACATGGAGTTAGTGGTCGAACGGGAAGAAGTGCTACAAGTACGAAAACCAACATAGACGTTCTATAAGTGTTGATTAAATGGAGAATTTTGCCAGTATTGGAGGCTTCATGGGAAGAGTCAGAGGTGATACAAAAGCAGTTTCAGAGAAAATTTTGAGGACAAGATGAACGAATTTCCAGGGGTATTGATAAGAGCAAGAAACTTATCACATATGTGAGAAGAAGGGTAAATAAGTAAATTCAGAAAGGGGTTGTTGAGTGCGCTTGAAGGATGTTGGTGGAAAGTTGTGTATCAAGGAAGCATAAAAAAGGGCTTTAATGGACTAGAGTTAGGCATTCAGATTCATTTGTTACTTTCTCGATTCTTGTAATTGAGTAGGAGAGGGATAGTCTCTCGAATACAAGAATATTCTTCAATAAACTTCAATTTGATTTCAATCTTTATCAATGTATATGTCAAGAACCAAGAATCTTACCCGGTAAAAGGGAAGACAAGGACCAAGAGACTTACCTGGTAAGTGAGAGAGAAGACTCTTACCACGGTTAGCGCTTACCGGATAAATTTGTTGCATGCGATACTGTTTTGGTGGACTAAAATTTTACACCATAAGTAATAGTGTTGAATTTTACCGGTAAGCGTTTACACCAGTAAGACCCCTTAGACATGTTCGGGGTCATGTAAACCCGATTTTGTTGTAGTGTATTATCCTAGACTTATAAAACCACTTGTTATCTAATTATAATCCATCCTCATCGCTAATGAACATGTAAAATGTAGGTATATAAAGCCCAACATCACATAACAAAAATCAAAATTCACCTTGCAAATCACTTCGTTGTAGCTGCTAGTAAGGGAACTCACTAGGTTGTCTGAAACGCAACAGTCAGGTCCTTGTCCGGCTACTTTAGTTTCATGTTGGGTTATGAAGTTTGAGGATTTGACAGCAGAGAAGGCAGCACTCTTGTTCAGCTGGTGAAGACACCGACAAATTAATTACGCTTATAATCTGCAGATCGGAAGCCATCTTTTTGAACTTTAGTCTTTTTAATCTTCACCTTCACCCGTACACCATCATTTATTACAGACTGAAGCACAATTTGAAGTTTCCCCTCCAACTTCTCACCTTTTCTGGGTGTATAAACCACATTGTGAATATCATCAGCAAAAGCTCTTTGTGCTAATACTTTCCCAACAGCAGCACAAGCAGCAGCATTTCTAGTTGAACCCAGATCAAATTTCATGTCCTTAGAAATAGAATGTGCAACAGCAACAACTTTGCTCGTTGCTCGATGAACAATGCACGCTCGTATAGATGCTTTTGAGATGTAGATATCCAAACAAAATGGCTCATGGTATGGCGCTGTAAGTTGATTGAAAGTTGGAACCCTTTGCTTCTTTTCAATGAAAGATCCTTCCGGTTTCTCCATCTCATCAAACATGGAAATCCCGTAATTATTTCTTGGGTTTCCATTYATTTTGCTTTCTCTAATCTCATCTTTTCTTTTTGAAACATTTTCAACCATATTGCCCGAAGTTGAATTTGGGTTCTCTTTTGCCTTGCTCTCCCTCTGATCAGTCTTCCTTTTAGAAGATTTCCTCCTGTGGAAATCAATATTGTACTCTTCATACTCTTTTGAATCTCTGTCAAGCTTATAAAACAGATTTCCACATATTCTCAAATCAACAATTTAATCAAAATCAGGGTCAACTGAGTTTCGAGGTGTATCATTAGCCACTTGAGCATGAGAAGCGTTAGTTACCAGAGATGGGGCAGTAGCATCTTTCCATGCATTCGCAAAACCTGTTGAAACTTGCCAAGTCTCATCGTCAACAATGTCAATTTTGTAATCATTGGATTGATCGCCAATTTTTGAAAACAATGGGGAATGATGAAGGCTGTGATCATAACATGAAGAAGTGGTTTCAACTTTCGACCTAAGTAGCGAATCACAAACAGCTTCTGTTCTATTATGGACAGCCCGCAAGATACTTAAAGAAAGGCCATGTTATTTTGCTTGAAAATGATAGCCTGCAATTCCTCTAAAGATGATTGTGCTTCTAACAAACATGCATATCATCTTGTTTGGTTGTACTAGTAAAAACCAAATTCAACTTTTAGCAAGAACCATCAAACCGAGTAGTTAACCATAAAGTTGGTAGTGAATCGTCCAACATTCTAATAAAGAAACATCAAACAATTGGTGTGGAAAACCAGAATTAGCAGACCTTCAGTTGAAAGGATAGCAAGAGGCCAAACAGAAACTTTGGGCCAATTCAAAATAACCCCAAATTTCATAAAATGAAAGGTACTTTCAAACACGCTTAAAAGTTATTGAAGAGAGTTGAATCACCCACATGGATGTTGTTGTTGACGCCAATGGCTTCCTGCTGTCATACAGTCCAAAACGAAGAAAATCAAATTAATTACATAGGATCAATTGTAAAATTCCCCAACAGAAAGAGAAAATTTACTAGTTATTAAGGTTAGGAAGATAAAGCTTTTCAATATTATAGGACAAGACCAAGATAAAAACAAATGCATTACAAAAAATATAACAGTAAGACTTTTCTGTTGTTTTGTAGGGAAAAAACGCAACAACAATAGCAGCAACTAGATAGATAGCAATCAAAAATATAAGCAGAAAAGCATGCAATAGCCAGGATCCAGGGCAGACCTCTTAATTCTTAAATGTCATTATGTAAATTAGTCAATTGTGTATACAACCTTACAAGAACAAAACAATCTTTTAGGACAATGCTAAAAAGAGGTAACTTTGAACTCATGTTACATAAAGGAGTGAGCATATGAGACAATAAGATACACAAACGATTGACTCAGATTAATCACATATAGTCATATACCTCCAGCAACCTTGAAACAACTTATACCTACAGAAAATTTATTTCCCCCTATTCTCTTTTCTAGGGAAAGTTTATATTTTTTTATTAACCTGGATATCCAACCCGCTATGCGAGCTGACAAATCCCAAGGTTGCAGATAGCCCGAGTGACCGCATTTGAACCTCCGTGGCCATAAGGGTATTTTTATTCCTCCTTGGATTTGAACTTGAGACCTCCTGGTACTTTTGGCCTTTGAAGCCAAGCTCAAACCAATCAGGCACCACCCTTGTGGTTGGGAAAGTTTATATCGTCTTCAAGAAAGACAGAAAGTGACCAAGTCACCAAAGGGCCTAGCGGTATCGTAGCCCTTGGCTTTCTAGGAGGTCAGGGGTTCAAACCAACCTCACCATAGGTGAGGAGGGTGTGTAAGTTTATTTATTGCATTTGCCGTATATAAATATTATATACTTAAAAAAAAAATTGACCAAGTCCAAGTGTTGTGTTTTTGTACCTTTTTGACAAGAAGGATTACAGAAAACTAAACAAGTTTATATTAACTTATTATAAGTCAGAAGGGTTTAACTTCTTCAAAAACTGCTTATTATCGATTTGACACCGGTATAAGTTGTTTATCCAAACACTTAAAAGTGCTTATTACCGGTGTCACATCAGAATAAGTCAATAAGTTGTTTTTATAAGCAATCCCAAACACCCCCTAATTGTTATCCTAGTTAATATATAAAAGTGATACATTTCCTCTAAGGCTTTGTGCAATAGAATTTATCTGAGACATTTCATCGAACAACTTCAAGGCTCTCCCCACATCGCCATACAAAAGATTCAAATTAGCAACATCCGCATCAAACTTAGTTTTATGTACCTTATCTCAAACTTAGTTTCAACTTTCAAATACTCAAAGTTTAAATTGTAATCTCTAATGTAAAAGTTTTGTAGGATGGAACCTGACACAACAAATAAGCGTTTTCCAAGCATGTCAATTACTCAACTCCAAGGAGATCATACTGAACCCAAACCCTGGAAATCTTCAACTTACGGAGAGCAGCAACAACCCACAGGTAGGGATGGCAAAAAAACCCGCACCCGATGGGGAATCCGATACCCGTACCCGATTTGACCGGGGAATCCCCAAGTTGACCGGGGACGGGGACGGGGACGGGGACGGGGATGGGGATGGGGAATCCCCAAATTTAAAAACGGGGATGGGGGCGGGGATGAGAATACCCTTCGGGTCCCCGGCTCCGGCCCCGACCCCGGCCCTGAAATATATATATATATATATATATATTAAATGTTACCCCAATTCCCAATTTCAATATACAAGATCTTTTCAGTTTATTTTTCCATATTCCCTAATTTAAAATATATACGGAATTTGAAAAGACTACTTGACTTTGAAAAGTGCAAATAATTATCAATTCCTTTTTGGATTGCAATATATATATATATATATATATATATATATATAATATATATTAAATGTTACCCCCGATTCCCAATTTCAATCACAAGAGTTGGAATCCATTAACAAAAAGAAAAATTAGGAGAGGTTCAAGAGTTGGAATCAATTTGTGATTGTGTCTGCAAGTTTTTTGAGTTCAATTCCTCACCTTTTCTTGATTGAGAGTGTTTTAGGTAAATAAATTTTCTTTATTCTTGTTATATAAATTGCTTATCTATGATTTTCTTTATCTTGTTGTATCTTCATTTGTTTATGCATGTCCTTTCTCAATGTATCATTATTCATCTATGATTCTTTTGGGTACTGATTTTATTTAGGTTACTAATATATTGTATGAGCTGAAATATAGTTTTATATCATGATATTTTAGCTTTTGAAATACGTGATAATTCAACTTGGTTTTACTGAAATTTCTAGCTTTAARCATTTACAAATCAATAAATATAATGCTCTTTATTCAAGCAAAAAATGCAATTTCACATCCGGGGAAAAATCCCCGATTCCCCGTTGGGGATCCCCGATTCCCCGT